TATGTTGGTTGGGTGATTTGTGGGAAGATCCAGGGAAACAGAAGTAGCTCCAGATTTGGTGCTGTCAGAATTGAGGACAATTCTGTATTTAGATAGACTAGAGCAAGGCTGAAACTCTGATGGGTAAAGAAGTTGCAGTCACTCATTGTAGGCTTCCATCGTAGACCAGTGCTCTTCAGAATTGGTGATTTTTGTTTATATTGTCAGGACTTGAGAATTTGGTGAGGTCAGAAGGTTGCTGACCAAAAAAAATCTTGCTTCTTGGTTGATAACCAGGGTACTTGGAGATTATGGATGTTAAATGGCTAACCTGGATTCTATCCCCTTGGTTTTGAGCTAATTACTGAGCTATGTTATACCTTCATTTCTTTATCTAGATATAACGATATGTAATAATAATAGCTAACACCTATAGTACTTACAATGCCCCATCACTGTTTTAAGCATTTTACATATATTAACTTATTTGATCTTCATAACAATGTAGTGAGGTAGATACTATTTTATCTTTATTTATTGATGAGAAAACTGAGCATAGAAAAGTTAAGTGACATGCCCAAGGGCAAAGTTAGTAAATGTCAGAATAGGCAGGCAGTATTTTAGCTCAGGCAGCCATAACCAATACCACAGACCGTGTAGCCTAAACACACACTTATTTTCTCACAGTTCTGGAGGCTGGTAGTGAGATCAGGGTGCCAGCATGCTCAGATTCTGGTAAGGGTCCTTTCTAGCTTGCCAGACTACTCTTTTTCCCTGTGTCCTCACATGACAGTGTGGGGGATGAGAGAGAAGAAATCTCCCTTCTTATTATAAGGCCACAGTTATATCCATTAGCTCTCTACTTTATACCTCATTTAACCTTCATAATCTCCTAAAGACCCAATCTCCAGATACAGCCACATTGGAGGTTAGGGTTTCAACGTATGAATTTGGGGTTGAGGGACACAGTTCAGTCCATAGCACAATGAGACCACAGAATCTGATGGTAATGATAAGAAACATGATTTGAGGCTGGGCGAGGTGGCTCTCGCCTGTAATCCTAGCACTCTGGGAGGCTGAGGCGGGAGGATTGCTCAAGGTCAGGAGTTCAAAACCAGCCTGAGCAAGAGCGAGACCCCGTCTCTACTATAAATAGAAAGAAATTAATTGGCCAACTAATATATATAGAAAAAATTAGCCGGGCATGGTGGTGCATACCTGTAGCCCAGCTACTCGGGAGGCTGAGGCACCAGGATTGCTTGAGCCCAGGAGTTTGAGGTTGCTGTGAGCTAGGCTGACGCCACAGCACTCACTCTAGCCTGGGCAACAAAGAGAGAATCTGTCTCAAATTAAAAAAAAGAAAGAAAAATGATTTGAGGTCATGATAAGGAATAGCAGTTGACTATTCACTATAGGCAAGGCTCAGTATATACTAGGAACTAAGACGAATCATCTTTAATTTGGGGCACATATACAGGAGCATACATATAAGTGGGATGGGAAGAGTAAATATTTTTTTTCTTTTTCTTTTTGGAAAAGTAAATATTAAAATTTCTACTTATGTTTATTATCCCTTTAAAAATTAGTTTTTTTGTTCGTGCTTTATAATGACTAAAATTTATTAGTACAGAAATAAATATACATAATTTAAAAATAAATATGCACACAAATACATTAGGGGAGTGCCCCAACAATTTTTACTAAGATGAGTGTGTGGTCACTGCAGCAGAATAGACAAAGGCACCATGATGTCCCTGCCCTCAAAGAGTTACAGTGTACTGGGGACAGAAAATTAATTTTTTAAGTGTTAATAATGGACCATAGTAGATCAATTCATACCACAGATCGATTCATGATTATTTGTCCCAAATAAACTGCCACGGGCTCTGTTTTGCCGTAGGCTGAGGACGACCCTGCTCCGGTTGAACGCTGCGGGCCGGGACCTGCGCGCCGAGGCGGCGGCGGCGGCTCAGCTCTCGGAGCCCGCGAGGAGGCGGCGGGACGCGGGGAGGCGGCAGCGCGCCCCCATGAACCAGCGCCCCCTGATGCACCGGCTGCAAGGGCAGTCCCAGCGCGTCGGTTCTTCTGCTCCCCGCCGCCCCCCGCCTCACGTCCACGTGGGACACAGACCGCTCCACACAGCTGGTGCGCCAGTGTCCGAGAAACCCAAGAAGGGTGAGGCTTAGGGTCACGTTCCCGTCAAGTCTGAAACACTGGGGAGGATTGATGTGCCAGCCACGTTTTCCGCACTGCTTTATTCCGCCCACCACTCCATTTTGTTCTTTTGTTCTCACTCACTCCTTTGTGCCTCCCTGAAATCTTTTTTTTCCTGAGTGGGACGTTAGGTTCGAAATTCTCAGTTCGCCATGGAGTACTGCTGAGGGGAGGGAGAATCAGACAACAGGAAACGGGAACTTTGCTGGTTGGTTCTGCAGCATGTCTAGAAGAGCCGGACATACATTGCTCAGGTCGTAAGGGGAGTGATCCTATGAGGGGTCCTTCTGCCGCACATGTGGGCTATGTGGCCAGAGAGTAGGATTTTCAGACCAGCTGTGCCTCTAAACCTGGGGTTCTTAGCCTTTTGGAGAAGCGGGCTCCTTTGAAACAATGATCAAAGCAAAGGCCCTTCTCCCAAGAAAAATGCACACACACATAGACAAACTTTGCAAATGATTTCCATGGGTTCAGAGATTCCCCAAAGCCCATTCCTAAAGTCTAGGCCCAGAAGTCAGGCTGTAAATGATTAGCATCATTTGCAATTTCTCCTCTTCCTGTTTTTCTTAGGAATGGCTCTGTGGTTCAGTTTGAGTTCAGTCTTTCTCTGTCTGCTATGAAACCCAATATTGACTGTCCAAAGTAGATCAGGGATGAGCAGCCTAGGTGAAGGAAATCTACACACAGCATTTTATAAATATTCTAATTTTATTAATAAATACTTACTTTGTTTAGTATGGTCCTGTACTTTCAATTCCACTACTCCAGACAACCAAAAGTTTGCAAAAACAGCTAAAAGTAGAGAAATTCAACGTCTAAATTTCAGTTCCATTGAACAGTTTAAAGGGCACCATAATTATTTACCAGGCACTAGCGATAATGATGTGTTAGTGTTAGACACAGAGTCCCTGCCAGACAAGCTCGCACCTTTTTTTCTTATTCCCATTTATACCTATTTGAGAGTCTGTAGTCCTGTTGGATTTATGAAATCTGTAGTGGCAATTCTGGGCAAGAATAAAGAGAACCTCTCCTCTGGGACCTGTTATCGTATAAGGATTTACCCAGGTCTCAAGGCTCCTTACATCCAGCACTTGGTGTTCCAGTTTCAGCACTCAGTGTTTTGGAGGGTACTATTGCCAGAGTCTGCATCTTCTTCCTAAACTTTCAGGGTCAAGGGACAGGCTGAACTATACAGCCCCTCCCACATTCAAGGAGCATGTGACAAATGAAAAAACCAGGGGTGAAATATCCAGTGAACCCAACGAACTGTGAGTTCTTTTAATTTATCCTATGCTGTGACTCCTGACTTTTTAATTAGAAATACATCATTTAGGGAACAAGTGAATTTTGGTGATTTAGAGTCTTTCCAGCATAATCAGAAGATGAAAGTCAACCCTAGGTCAAATTCCAACTTCGTTGTGTCATCTCTCTGTCCTCTGAGGAAAGGAATATAAAGCCCTTTTGCTCAATTTGTGTTATTCTGTCTCTTCCCCTTTATATTTTTGTCTCTTAGGTCATAATTCATTTATGTTTCTGTTTGACATTTGAAAGCTATATTTTGTATGATTATCCTCTACATATATCAAGATTACTGACTCCTTTAACTTCTTTTTATACAGTATATGTGAGAGCCCAATTCTAAACCCCTGTAATAGCAGTTCCTAATTCTCCTTTTTGTGTTTGATGTTCCTAATTCTAGCAGTATAGAATTTCTTTAAGCAATTTCTTTAAGCAAAGTCATAAGTATGACTAAACTCATTGGTCTATGCATGCCAAACAGTGCCCACATTATGGCCAGCAATACTATGCAAGTGGAAGAACCACCCAGGTCTCCTGAGAAAATGTGGTCTAAAGATGAAAATGAACAGAGAAGATCATTGGAGTGTGCTCAGAAAGCTGCAGAGCTTCGGTAAGAGTAGCATTCCATGTCCCAAACCATAATGAACTGAAAAAGTAAGAGATTCTTATTTACATCTTTACTCTATCTCAGAGGAAAAGAGAATGTTTGGGATTAAATTCAATCTGAGAGGTAGACCTGTAGTCCCTAGTAGGTTAAGAAATACATTAACCTAAAGAAGAAGCTTATATATAATTTATTTTTATTTTTATTTATTTTTTTTTGAGACAGAGTCTCGCTTTGTTGGCCAGGCTAGAGTGAGTGCTGTGGCATCAGCCTAGCTCACAGCAACCTCAAACTCCTGGGCCAAAGCATCGCTGCTGCCTCAGCCTCCCGAGTTGCTGGGACTACAGGCATGCGCCACCATGCCTGGCTAATTTTTTCTATAAATATTAGTTGGGCCAATTAATTTCTTTCTATTTATAGTAGAGACGGGGTCTCGATCTTGCTCAGGCTGGTTTCAAACTCCTGACCTTGAGCAATCTACCTGCCTCAGCATCCCAGAGAGCTAGGATTACAGGCGTGAGCCACCGCACCTGGCCTATAATATTAATAGAGGATTTGCTGCTTCCCTTCATAGAAGGAAAACTATTTCATCCTCATCACCAGATAGGGGTTCTCAGCCCTCACTCTGCATCAGTCATTGGAGAACTTTTTTTAAATAGACTTTCTTTATTTAGAGCAATTTTAGTTTTACCAAAATTAAGCAGGAAGTACAGAGAGTTCCTTTATACCTCCATACACACACAGCTTTCCTCACTATCCACAGCCCATGCCAGAACAGTACATTTATTACAATTGATAAACCTACATTGATACATCATTATCACCTAAAGGCTATAGTTTACATTAGGGTTCACTCTTGGTATACATTCTGTGGGTTTGGACAAATGTGTAATGACATATACCCACTATGATAGTATCACACAGAATAATTTCACTGCCCTAAAAGTCCTCTGTGTTTCATCTGTTTATGTCTCCCACCTTAAACCCCTGGTGACCACTGATACTTTTACTATCTCCATAGTTTTGTCTTTTCCAGAATGCCATGTAGTTGGAATCATAGGGTAGGTAGCCTTTTCAGGTTAACTTCTTTCACTTAGTAATATGCATTTAAGGTTTCTCCAAGATGGGCACGGTGGCTCACACCTGTAATCCTAGCACTCTGGGAGGCCGAGGTGGGTAGATCGTTTGAGCAAGGGCGAGACTGTGTCTCTACTAAAAATAGAAAGAAATTAATTGGACAACTAAAAATATATAGAAAAAAGTAGCCGGGCATGGTGGCGCATGCCTGTGGTCCCAGCTACTTGGGAGGCTGAGGCAGGAGGATGGCTTGAGCCCAGGAGTTTGAGGTTGCTGTGAGGTAGGCTGATGCCATGGCATTCTAGCCCGGGCAACAAAGTAAGACTCTGTCTCAAAAAAAAAAAAAAAAAGGTTTCTTCATGTCTTTTCATGGCTTGATAGCTCATTTCTTTTTAGTGCCAAACAACATTCCATTGTCAGTGTGTACCACAATTTATTTATCTATTCAGCTGTGGAAGGATATCTTGGTTGTTTCCAAGTTTTAGCAATTATGAATAAAACTGTTATTAACATTGTGTGTAGTACTCACAATCAAATTGGTTTTAACTAATCAACACTTAAGTGCACATAAAGTAATAATATTCATCGGGTGTTGGGCAGATGGGAGGGGGAAGGAAAGGATGGGTGTATACACACCACATACCTAATGAGTGTGGTGCGCACCGTCCGGGGGATGAACATGCTTGAAGCTCTGATGTGGGTGGGGCAAGGACAACATACATAACCTAAACATTTGTACCCCCATAATATGCTGAAATTAAAAAAACAAAAAAAACATTGTGTGCAGGTTTTTCTTTTTTTTTTTTTGAGACAGAGTCTCGCTTTATTGGCCAGGCTAGAGTGAGTGCCGAGGCAGCAGCCTAGCTCACAGCAACCTCAAACTCCTGGGCTCAAGCAATCCTCCTGCCTCAGCCTCCCGAGTTGCTGGGACTACAGTCATGTGCCACCATGCCCGGCTCATTTTTTCTATATATATTAGTTGGCCAATTAATTTGTTTCTATTTTTATAGTAGAGACGGGGTCTCGCTCTTGCTCAGGCTGGTTTCAAACTCCTGACCTTGAGCAATCCGCCTGCCTTTGCCTCCCAGAGTGCTAGGATTACAGGCGTGAGCCACGTCGCCCGGCCTGTGCAAGTTTTTCTGTGGATATCAGTTTATAGCTTTGAGACCGTTTAAAACCACAGATGCCTGATCCTCACCCCAGAGATTCTCTTTCAATTATTTGGCAGTAGAGTTCAGGCAGTGTAATTTTAAAGATATTTTCAGGCAGGTGGGACGGGGATCACCGAGATAAGAGTATAGTGAGTCCAAGTCTTCCCCAATATCTCTTTCAAGCAATAAAGAAAGCAAGATCTCCTAGCTTCAGAAATAATATCTTTATGTCCCCTATGCATATTCACATCTCCCTGGTTTCTCTAGGGAAACAAAGCTTAGACCTAGCTTGATATTGCAAGGTTCATAAGAAACTGTGAGCACCATCATATTTTTAAAAACTGTTATTATGTTTTCTAAGAACACAGAGTTTAAGTTTAGTGGTCTCTCTAGTAAACCTCAGCTGGCATGAGGAGAGATGGAAGAAAGGAGTTTATTTACTCAAGGGTACATATGCTCCTTACTTTTAGTGTGTTGTGAGAGAGAGAAGAAGGCATGAGACAAGAGGAAGCTGTTTTTATTGGTGCACAGTCAAGGGCAAAAGGTGATTAATTCCGACCATTCTCAGGCAGAATGTTTTAGCACCTTCTTCTTTCTGCAGAGCTTCCATTAAAGAGAATGTAGAGCTGATACGACTTAAGAAGCTCTTACAAGAAAAGAATACCTCATTGGTAATGACAAAAGCACAATTAACAGAAGTACAAGAGGTGAGTTGCCACCATCAGCTATGCCTTCTTGAGGGGAAAACTCCAATGAATTAATAAATTGGTCTTATTGTCTCCATTTTACGTATGGGAGAACACAATTCATAGAGACTAAGTTACTTGTCCAAGGTTATACAACTTATAGGTGATATTCAAATCCAAGCCTTGCAACTCAGAGTCCATTCTTTCCCCAATACTTCCTGTTATTTCTCTATTATGAAAAAAGCTCAAGCTCTGCCCCCTCTGGTAAAATTAAGTGGAGTTAACTTGTGTTGGGGTTAAGGTCCCAGCCAAGGACCAGAGTATAATTAAATTGGGAAGTCAAGAACAGTCACAGGGGAGGGGAAGGAAACCAGCCTTTACTGAGCACTTTTTATGTGCTGGACTACGTCTCTGGGTGCTTTTAGTCATGATCTTATTTAAGCCTGACAACAACCTTCAAGGTATGTATATTTAGCAGATGGGATAACTGTGCCTCAAAGAAGTTAAATAACTTGCTCAAGTTGTAAAAATAGTAAGGTGTAGATTTGAGTCCAGGCTGGCACCAAGGCCTTGAATGTTTTCTCATTATCACTCATTAGAAAGTAATATCTGAATGGTGGAAATAGGGCATTAAGGGTCAAAGTAATAGGTTAGCACCATTCTTTTATTAAAGAAACATTTATCCAGGACTAGGAACTGCAAAGCATGAGGATACCAAGATTACAAAGATAAGTAAGACAGTATCTGCCTTCAGGGAACTTATAGGAGTGAGAGAGGAGCATGTGAACAACCACAACTATCAATATGTAGGATATGGGGGAACACAAAAGGGAAAATAGATTCACCAGAGGATGGAGTGCAGGATCAGAAAAGGATTCATAAAGGAATAGATTTGTGAGCTAAATACTGAAATATAAAAGATTAGCAGGCGTTAATAAGTGTGAAAGAGAGGGAAGGGCTTTCCGTAGGAGGGGAGGTGTAGGCCAAAGCGCAGAGGTGAGAAACATCAGAGACCAGGTCATGGAGGCCATACTAGGAATTTAGACTTTATCCTGTAGATAGTGGAGAGCTTTGGAAGGGTTTAAGCAAGTTGATAACATGATCAATTTTTTTCTCAAAAAGATACTTAGCCTTTTTTTTTTTTTTTTTTTTTTGAGACAGAGTCTCACTTTGTTGTCAGGGCTAGAGTGAGTGCCGTGGTGTCAGCCTAGGTCACAGCAACCTCAAACTCCAGGGCTCAAGCCATCCTCCTGCCTCAGCCTCCCAAGTAGCTGGGACTACAGGCATGCGCCACCATGCCTGGCTAATTTTTTCTATATATTTTTAGTTGTCAGCTAATTTCTTTCTATATTTTTTTTAGTAGAGATGGGGTCTTGCTCTTGCTGAGGCTGGTCTCGAACTCCTGAGCTTGAGCGATCCTCCCGCCTTGGCCTCCCAGAGTGCTAGGATTACAGGCATGAGTCACCTTGCCCGGCCCTTAGCCTTCTTTTTAAGTCTGAAATATTTTGAAATACGTTTTAATAAATAAAGAAAGAATACTTTTGGAAAGCTATTATAAAACACTAATTATTATTAATTCTGGGTAGTAGGTATATAGATGACTGTTATAATATTATACACTTTATGCATTTCTGAAATTTTCTGATTTCTCAAAAATTACAAAACCAAAAGGAAAAATCATTCTGGCAGCAGAATGCATGATAGGTTGTCTAATACAAGACCAGAGGCAAAGAAATCAGGTAGAAGACTACTGCAGGGGTACAAAGGAGACAGGATAAGGGTCCCAAGTAAGGCAGTGAGAGAGGCCTGCAGAGAAAGGGATGTTATTGGGAAAGGTCTGGGAAGTAGAAGAATGGCTTTACCACCTCACCAAATGGGAGTGAGGAAAAAGGAGAAATTACAGATGACTGCTAGATTCTAGCTTGGGCAATTAGATAATGGTGGTGTTATTCATTGAGATTGGATTTAGTGGAATCAATCCAAGTGCCCATCAGTACATGAGTGGATCAATAAAATATGGCATTAATATATATTTACCATGGGGTACTACTCAGCCATAAAAAAATGGTGAACTAATACCTTTTGTAACAACCTGGATGGAACTGGAGACTTCTAAGTGAAGTATCGCAAGAATGGAATAACAAACACTACATGTACTCACTGTTAAATTGGAACTAATTGATCAACACTTATGTGCATGTATGGAAATAAAACTCAATAGAAATCAAACTGGTGTGGGGGGAGAGAAGGCGCTGGGTAAATTCACACCTGATGGGTACAATGCACACTATCTGGGTGATAGGCACACTTGTAACTTACTCAAACTGTACAAAAGCAATTCATGTAACCAAAACATTTGTACCCAGTAGTATTCTGAAATTAAAAAAAAGAGATTAGATCTGCTATAGTTAGCACTGACTATGGCATGTCTGTTCTGATATGGGCTACAGGATCTTTATAAGACCAACCTGCAAACTTCTGTTTCATAGAAAACTATGCATGTGCTTAGATTCTTTTAATCTGGTTAATGTTGTTAGCATTTAAAGGATGTGGAAATGTGGGAAGAAAGATAATTTGAAATTGTATTGGTAAATGGCTATTTCTATAGAATTAGATTTTTAAAAAATAAATCTATATTCCTCCATTGTATTAAAGGAGAAAAGGAAGAAAGCCGTTCTAAATTTAATTTCCTTACTCATGCTCATGGCAGGGAACACTGGCAGAAATAACCTAAAACGGTGAATAATCACCCACAATTTTTTAAAATATAGGTTTTATAATTTGTTTTTCATTAGCTACCTTTCTAGTTATGCTTCCTAACACATACTAAAATAAATTTGCATTCTCTTACTCCCTTAATAGTGAAATATGGTGGTCAATAGCACCAACTCTGGAGTCAGACAGCCTGGGTTAAAGTTCTGCCTCTACTTCTTGGTAGCTACATGATTTTCAGCAAATGACTTAGCTCTCTGAGGTTTGGTTTTCTCTCTCTCTCTCTCTCTCTTTTTTTTTTTTTTTCTGAGACAAGTCTCCCTCCCTTTATTGCCCGAGCTAAAGTACAGTGGCAGATATAGCTCATTGCAACCTTGAACTCCTGGGCTCAAGTGATTTTCCCACTTCAGTCTCCCTCCCAAGTAGCTTGGGCTACAGGTGTGCACCACTACACATAGCTAATTTTGTGTGTGTGTGTGGAAATGGGGTCTTGCTATGTTGCTCAGGTTAGTCTTGAATTCCTAGCCTCAAGCAATCCTCCTGCCTCAGCCGCCCAGAGTGCTGGGATTACAAGCGTGAGCCACCCCACCTACCTAGTTTTCTCATTTTAAAGTTTAGGTAATGATAATTACCTCTCATATTTGCTGTAAGAACTAAGTGAGATCATATATGTGAAACATATGTGATGATTATAATGTAGCAGATAATGAAACACGTAGTACCATGTAACACTGCAGTCCCCAACCCCCAGGCCATAGACCAGTATTGGTGTATCAGTCCATGGCTTGTTAGAAACCAGGCTGTACAGCAGAAGGTGAGCGGTGGGTGAGTGAGTGAAGTTTCATCTATATTTACAGCCGCTCCCCATCACTTGCAATCCCCCACCCAATCCCCTGGTCCATGGAAAAATTGTCTTCTGTAAAACTGGTCCCTGGTGCCAAAAAAATGGGAAACTGCTAACATAGTAACTACTCAACTAATAATAGTAGCTGTTGATGATTATTGTTGTTTTGCTGAGACTGAAAAGAGACCTTTCTAAAACATGCTGAATAACAGATAATATTTAGTTTGAGATTAAATATTTTTCTTGGATAAACCACTAAATACAGTACAAATGTAAATAAATGACCCTTTATTCTTTTTTGAGAAATGATGTGATTGATTGTATTCACAGACTACCTGGCAAGCTAGGGCAGAGGGAAAATAATGGCAATTAGTAAACAGGTATATAAATTGACTTGATTTGTGGGATTTTTATAATGTGTTTAAAAATAATTATTAAACATTTGTATTACAGAGATAAACATTATAAAATTGATAAATCAGTAAAATAATAATTATTTGTTTCTTCCAGGCATATGAAACATTGCTCCAAAAGGTACTTAATAAAAATTCTTTGAATCCCTGTTTCTTGGTAATCAGAGTAATCAAACCCAAAGAAATCTGTATGTATCTCCAAGGAACATTACACTAGAATTTAGCTAACTAAATCAAAGTTATGTCATATAATTTCTATTAAGAAAACTGATGTTGTTACTGTTATCAAAAGATACTTATTGCACAATTTAAGAATTGGAATATGAGACATCAGTTGAGAAATATTTGGAATGATATTTTCAACCTATTGCTGGGGCAAATAATAGCATTTGCTCAAAAATCCTAAGAGTATTCTTCTAACATGTGTGAAGTAGTGAGATATAACAAAATTGTTGCACATGTTCTCTGATGGTGTTAAATATATGATCCTACTCACCACTGTGAGTGGGGTACAGGTGAAGCTGGGTGAATTTCCATGATTAAGAATCACTAAGGCAGAGTTCCAAGCATGACCAGCCACCACTATGCCTCGCCAGAGGAGTCCACCAGAAAAATGCATACAACTTCTAGAGTTAATATGTCACTTTTCTAAGTGCAAAAGGAGTTCTATATCATCATAAAAAGCAATCAAATGGTTTTGAAAGTTAAGGCAGTGTTGAAAGGTGGCACCTAACTTAGAGCCAGGGATTCATTTGAACCTTTAGAAAATTAAGGTTTCAGTGATGAACTACAGTTGTGTAGAATGAAAAATCCTCGCTAAGAGGAAACTTATACTTCCAGAGAAATGCTAGGGTGAAAAATAAGGTCAACTTACAATGCCAAGACAACATGCCATTAATCAAAGTCATCCCTTCTAACAACTATGAGGGATTGCTAGGATTGCTAGTATCTGGAGAGCACTCCTGTGGAGTGATATGACCATTCCCAGAGCAATTTCCCTTTTGCCTCAGAAGCAAGTAATCCTGAGTGCAGCCCATGATGCTCTCCTCAACCAAGTGAAGGAGCTCAGGGCAGAGCTAAAGGAGGAAAGCAAGAAGTCTATGAGCTTGAAGAGCCAACTGGAAGATGTTTCTATCTTGCAGATAACTTTGAAGGAGGTAAATAATACTAGTTGAAAAATATCATCAATTGTGCTACATTCCAATTTCAGACATGTTAGAATGTGTATCTTAGCAACAATATGGTTATTGCATTTTTTCAAATGAGAAAAATGAGGCTCCAAGTGGTTAAATTATTTGCTTAAGATTATACCATTAGGGGAAAAGTTGGGATTTATACTTATGTCTATTCTCCAAAGTGCTTGCTTTTTCATAATGTCTTCTGCTTCTTTAGCAGTAGAAACACAGACACAGTGAAAACTTACTTTGGAGAATCTTCGTTAATTCCAATAAGAGTTTCTAGCCTATCTTCAATTGGTTCAAGTCTTTATGGTTGAATGGCTCCTCATAGACACTGCAGATGAATGTAGAAAAGCTCTCACCCAAGCCCCACCCTGCCACAGAAAAGGGATAACCTGTGCAAGACAATAGATTTTAAAATTTTTATCTTAAGGAATCTACTGTCATTCTTAGTTTCAGGAGAGAATTGAAGATTTGGAAAAAGAACGAAAATTGCTGAATGACAATTATGACAAACTATTAGAAAAGTAAGTACCATATTTGTGTCCCAGAGCATCATTTGCTATAAAAGACAATTATAGGGCCAGGAGAGGTGGCTCACGCCTGTAGTCCTAGCACTCTGGGAGGCTGAGGCGGGAGGATCGTTTGAGCTCATGAGTTCAAGGCCAGTCTGAGCAAGAGGGAGACCCTGTTTCTACTAAAAATAGAAAAAATTATCTGGGCATGGTGGTGCATGCCTATAGTCCCAGCTACTTGAGAGGCTGAAGAAGGAGAATTGCTTGAGCCCATGAGTTTGAGGTTGCTGTGAGCTAGGCTGACGCCACGGCACTCTAGCCCAGCAACAAAGTGAGACTCTGTCTCAAAAAAAAAAAAAGACAATTATAGAAAGTGCCTTCCACATTTTTTTTTTTTGAGACAGAGTCTCGCTTTGTTGCCCAGGCTAGAGTGCCGTGGCATCAGCCTAGTTCATAGCAACCTCAAACTCCTGGGCTCAAGCAATCCTTCTGCCTCAGCTTCCCGAGTAGCTGGGACTACAGGCATGTGCCACCATGCCCAGCTATTTATAGAAATTTCTATTTATAGTAGAGACGGGGTCTTGCTCTTGGTCAGGCTGGTTTTGAACTCCTGACCTCGAGCAATCCGCCCGCCTTGGCCTCCCAGAGTGCTAGGATTACAGGCGTGAGCCACTGCGCCCAGCCTGCCTTCCAAATTTTAAAAGTAATATCCCAAGTAGCTGGGACTATAGACACATGCCACCATCCCCAGCTAATTTTTAAATTTTTTGTAAAGATGGAGTCTCATATATTGCCCAAGCTGGTCTCGAACTCCTGGCCTCCAAGCCTCAGCCTCCCAAAGTGCTGCTGGGATTACAGGCGTGAGCTACTGTGCCTAGCCTATTTTTTGGAATCAAAACTTTAAAAATCTTCTTGTGTATGTGTGAAGATATCTATAAATTCATAATAAGAATGTTAATTACTGCATTGTTAGTAAACGAAAATGGAAACCACCCAGATTTCCATTGATAGGGAATTATGTAAATCATGTTGTATGCCCACAATGAAGTGCTATGCCGCTGTTAAAAATGAGGTAGATGTATTGTTGTGTCCTGTTAACATGCTTGGTTGTATAAAAATATTTTAAAAAGGGGGGAGGGGTCATGGGCAATATACATAACCTTAACACTTGTATCCCTGTAATATGCTAAAATGATAAAAAAATAAATAAAAATATTTAAAAAGAGAAAAAGAAAAAAAGAAAAAAATGAGAAAAAAGGAAAAAATGAGATAGGTGTATTGTTAAAATAAAAAACAAGTTGTAAAAGAATATGTTAATTCTACCTGGTTTATGTTATCTGTGTTTATGGATCCATGATAAGAGCATTAGAGTAGGGCAAAGGGGCACCTTCCCTTTTATTCTATATACTAATATATTATTCTTATTTTTCACAATAAGCATATATCATGTATTAACTTTATAATTAAAAATACCCGGAAATTTTTAAACATTTAAAGTGCCTTCTGCCTAGCACTCTGGGAGGCCGAGGCGGGCGGATTGCTCGACATCAGGAGTTCGAAACCAGCCTGAGCAAGAGCAAGACCCCCATCTCTACTATAAATAGAACGAAATTAATCAGCCAACCAATATATATAGAAAAAATTAGCTGGGCATGGTGGCACATGCCTGTAGTCCCAGCTACTCGGGAGGCTGAGGCAGCAGGACTTCTTGAGCCCAGGAGTTTGAGGTTGCTGTGAGCTAGGCTGACACCATAGCACTCACTCTAGCCTGGGCAACAGAGTGAGACTCTGTCTCAAAAAATAAATAAATAAATAAAGTGCCTTCTGACCTTGTTAAAGGGGGCTGCAGTTAGATTAGGAGTTTCTTATGTGAGTATTCTGAGAACAACAGATGTTCTTCAACTCAGTGAAATGAAGCAGTGTGGGGCTTATCCACTTTGAAGACCCCCTATGGCAGACTTTACTATTGGCCTCTTCCCTTCATCACTCAAAATTTTACCTTCCTAAGTCATCACTTAATGTATGGTCAGGAAGTGCAAAGAAATCTTAATATTGGCCTAACTAAGAAAGTTATTTTTAGACCACATTTATTAAAATGATAAATAGGAAAGGACATAAGCAGAAATAATTGTTTAATTATCGGTTTTGCTGGGCATGGTGGCTCATACCTATAATCCTACCACTCTGAGAGGCAGAGGTAGGAGTATCACTTGAGCTTGAGCTCGGGAGCTCGAGACCAGCCCAGCCTAAGCAAGAGCAAGACCCCATCTCTACAAAAAAAAATAGAAAAAATACTCAGGCATGGTTGTATGTGCCTGTAGTCCCAGCTACTCTGGAGGCTGAGGCAGGAGGACTGTTGAGCCCAGGAGTTTGAGGATGCAGTGAGCTACAGTGACTCCAGTACACTCTATCGAGGGTGACAGAATGATACTCTGTCTCCAAAAAAAAAAAAAATTCAGTGTCATGTCATTTTTGTAAATCATCAAGAACTGGCCATGTGTATTTTATGTTAAAAATAGATCTGCCCTGACAACTAGATACAATGGGGTGGAGGATACAGCTGTTGAAAAGTTTAATTCCTGCCCTTCAGTATAGTAATTTATAATCTAGTTCAAAAGTAAGTATTCTCTAAACAAGCCATTGGTGAAGGTAGATGGAGGAATGGGGTAAGAAAAAGGAAGATTTTGTTCTCCATTTCTAATCCAGCAGGCCTGAAAATGTCTTGGTACACAGGTCCTTGCCTAAGAAAGCCATCATGCTGGAGAAGTTCTTTGGGAAATGGATATAAATTTGGGTGTTTGCTCAGTGAGATACTTGAGACCTAAACAGAAGTGATACTGAGCAACTCCGTAGTAGGACCCAAAAGTTCCAAGGCAGTTGGTAAATGACAGTTACAAATAAAGAAGGGGCAGAAAAAACATGTAGGGGAATGAATGGTGAACTAGGCTCAGGAGATGCTGAAAGTTTGTAATAAAGACGTCATATCACATACCTTTGAGCAGCCACCTGACAACTTGCCTTCCATTTTCAGCATGCTGGACAGCAGTAATCAGCCTCTTTGGAACAGCGAGCTCATAGAAGAACAGCTACAGCAGCAAGTCTCTCAGTTGCAGGATGAGCTGGAGGAGAAGAAAAAAGTCTTACTTGAGTTCTCTAGAGAGGAAGGTAGGTTGGACCTCGAAGAGCTCTCTCAAATGTGACATCTCTACATCTGGTTTGGGAGAAGGGAACTTGGGCTATCATTTCTCCAATCCTCTTACTTGATCCTATTCTTTTGTGAGTCATGGATAACTAGAATAATAACACTGGTAATTAGATTAGATTTACAATCAGGAACTAGGCATGGTGGCTCATGCCTATAATCCGAGCACTGTGGGAGGCAGAGGCAGCAGGATCACTTGAGCCTAGGTGTTTGAGACCAGCTTGAGCAAAATAGATCCCCATCTATACAAAAAATATGAAAAACTTAGCCGGACTTGGTGGCATGTGCCTATAGTTCCAGCTACTTGAGAGGCTGAGGCAAGAGGATCACTTGAGCCCAGGAATTTGAGGTTGCAGAGAGCTATGATGATACTATTGCACTCTAGCCAGGGCAGCAAGCAAGATCCTGTCTCGAAAAAATAATAAATAAATTGAATTTATAGGCTGGGCACAGTGGCTCACGCCTGTAATCCTAGCACTCTGGGAGGCCAAACGAGGCTGGAGGATCGGGGCTGGAGGTCAGGAGTTTGAAACCAGCCTGAGCAAGATCGAGACCCCAGCTCTACTAAAAATACAAAGAAATCAATTGGCCAACTAATATACATAGAAAAAATTAGCCAGGCATGGTGGTGCATGCCTGCAGTCCCAGCTACTCTGGAGGCTGAAACAGAAGGATTGCTTGAACCCAGGAGTTTGAGGTTGCTGTGAGCCAGGCTGACACCACAGCACTCTATCACGGGCAACAGAGTGAGACTCTGTCTCAAAAAAAAAGAAAAAAATCAACTTCACTACCAAATTGAAGAAGTTTTTTTATTTAAACAAAATAAATTTAAAAAAAGAAAAAAATTAGATTTACAACCAGGAAAGCATGACACCTACCTGTCTCACATGTATACTTTTTCCTATATAATATCTTTCCATTTGAAAGGATGCCAGTTTTTAATTAATTAATTAATTAATTTTCCGGCATATATATAGAAAAAATTAGCCAGGCCTGGTGGCACATGCCTGTAGGCTCAGCTGCTTGGGAGGCTGAGGCAGTAGGATTGCTTGAGCCCAGGAGTTCAAGGTTGCTGTGAGCGAGGCTGATGCCACGACACTCACTCTAGCCTGGGCAACAAAGCGAGACTGTGTCTCAAAAAAAACCACAAAACACTGACCACCTTCCTTCTCTGAGAAACACCCACACAGAAATGCCTATACTCCCTCTATGTCAGAGTTGGTATGGAGGTGGGTACCACAGAGAACCAATAGCCTAGAAGTCAGAATGGAGTGGGGTGGAGTTGGTGAGATATTGGTTTGGATGGTGCTGTCAAAAAGTTTGAAGTGCTCTAGTCAGTCAAGTGACTCTGTTTCTGTTTTTGTGCTGTTGTTTTTTTTTTTTTTTTGTTTTTGAGACAGAGTCTCACTTTGTTGTCCAGGCTAGAGTGAGTGCCGTGGCGTCAGCCTAGCTCACAGCAACCTCAAACTCCTGGGCTTGAGTGATCCTTCTGCCTCAGCCTCCCGAGTAGCTGGGACTACAGGCATGCGCCACCATGCCCGGCTAATTTTTTTATATATATATATCAGTTGGCCAATTAATTTCTTTCTATTTATAGTAGAGACGGGGTCTCGCTCTTGCTCAGGCTGGTTTTGAACTCCTGACCTTGAGCAATCCGCCCGCCTCGGCCTCCCAAGAGCTAGGATTACAGGCGTGAGCCACAGCGCCCGGCCTGTGCTGTTGTTTTTGATGTTGTTGTTTGTCCTTCCACTCTAAAGTTCTGCAGGTGTTTTTTTGTTTTGTTCTTGGAGTGGAAGTGTCACCTCAGCTTACTGGGTCAATAAGCTAGAGGCTCTTTGTAGAAATAAGAGAGAATTACTTTTCTAAGGGCAAATTTATACAAATAAATGCAACATTAGTGGGAAAATTTAATTTACACTTGATCCAATTCTGACCATGGTTACTAATAACCAGAGTTTCAACTTTCTGGATTATTTTTTCCCCAGCCAAAAACAAGGATGTGAAGCTTGAAGTCACCAACATGCTTCAGAAGCATGAAGAGGAAGTAGAGCTCCTCCAAGAAACAGCCACGATTTCCCAAAATCCTGACAGCCAATCTGAACCAGCTGCTCACCCAACTGTATTCCAAGAGACCACTCAGATAGAGGTAAGAGACTCTTTAAACAAACTAAACTCATCCACTCTACAGAGGGTTCTCTGGCAAATATCTCTAGGAAAGATGAAGAGATTATAAAACTGACTGAATAATATTTTGTCCTGATTGAGGACAATATTTGAAAGGATATGAGAAGTCTGAGAGTAGAGAGAGCTTCAGGAGCTCCACCCATTTATTCCCACTATTTTTTTTTTTTTTTGCCTCTAAAGGGAGTTGATACAGTTGTGTATTCCCACTCTTTATAGCTCATAATATTTAGAATCTTTTTCAGATGGGGACTTGCAATGATCTGCTGAAGAGCAAATAGACATTAGAGGCTGTATAACCTCCCTTCACTGCTGCTACTGAGCATGAGGACTAGGAAAGAGAGCACTTGTGAAGTAATACAAGTCCTTCTTTACATTTTGGAGTAAATTCTGCTGCTAGCATTTTACTACTACCAACAACTGCTTTATGAAGAATAGTTATTACTATACCTGTCATATTTATGCTCCCCTCTACCAATGCTTTTCCCTCTACAGCCCAGTGAACCAGAAAACCAAGAAGAAAATAAACTGTCCCAGATGTTAAGTGAGTTGCAAGTATCACATGCAGAGACCACATTGGAACTAGAAAAGACCAGAGACATGCTTATTCTGCAGCGCAAAATCAACGTGTGTTATCAGGTGCAAGAAAAGATTGTAGAGGAAGGGAATAGATAAGTAGACACATGGGAACCACTCAGGAGACTGGGAATGAAGCAAGACTTGAGTTTCCAGGGCTGATGCCGGGTGATATGCTGTCCTGTGCAAACACAGAATATGCTGTCCTTTAAAGAACACATGCTCATGGCACCTTAGCACTAGAAGCCAATAAAAAGCTAATGAAAATGGCCAGCGTGACCGGGCCCGGTGGCTCACACCTATAATCCTAGCACTCTGGGAGGCAGAGGCGGGCAGATTGCTCAAGGTCAGGAGTTTGAAACCAGCCTGAGCAAGAGCGAGACCACATCTCTACTATAAATAGAAAGAAATTAATTGGCCAACTAATATATATAGAAAAAATTAGCTGGGCGTGGCGGCATATGCCTGTAGTCCCAGCTACTCGGGAGGCTGAAGCAGAAGGATCGCTTGGGCCCAGGAGTTGGAGGTTGCTGTGAGCTAGGCTGAAGCCACGGCACTCTAGTCCGGGCAACAGAGTGAGACTCTGTCTCAAAAAAAAAAAAAAGAAAAGAAAGAAAATAGCCAGTGTGAAGCTTCTGGGTTCAAGTTTTGCCAGTCCTAGGACAAGACTACCCTATAGCACAGATAACAGAACTAGTCTCGGAGGGATCTGTGAGGAAGCCAAGCCTTTTTCTAGTAGATGAACCTGTCCCAAGGAGATAGCAGAGTCGTCTTTACCCAGCAAGTGCCACCTTTTTATCTGAGCTCTTTGGTTCTAGGCTACTGGGATGGAAAAGTTCAGATGTTATTTTGTTTCAGGAGGAACTGGAGGCCATGATGACAAAAGCTGATAATGAAAATAGAGATCATGAAGAAGAACTGGCCAGGTTGAGTCAACTCCTAGACCTCAAGAACAATCGTATCAAGCAGCTGGAAGGTATTTTAAGAAGCCATGGCCTCCCAACATCTGGCAAGTCTTAGTAACTTAGTACTTTGTTCTCCTCAACTTGGGACCCTTGACACAGCTAACACCTATGTTCCCCTCTGTGTACATGTCTGGAAGGCTGCCTCTTATGCCTTGTGACTCATCCCTCTTGTTCTTTACCCTGTCATCTTTGTTGTTTTAATATGTGTTAGCAACTTCTTTCCCTCCATCATGTCAGTGTATTTCTCTGATTACTCTGGAGAGTTTCAACAGGGATGAGAAATTGCTTCCAGGGGGTTGATCCTATTTTGTGAATGAGAGTATCACTGTTGGCCCTCAGGGTGGTATAACCCGCTTGTGCTTACACACGCTCTCTCTCTCTTGTCTCTGTCTCTCTCTCTCTGTCTCTCTCTCTCTCTCTCTCTTCTCCCTCATTGTTTCCTCAAAACTGTTTTGTCAGGTAATAGAGCTTTATCACTCATCTACTATTATCCTTTTCTGTGATTTCTCTCTAAAAGTCTCTAACATCTTTGGTACAATTTCAGGATGTCCACAGTGATAGAGCAGCTGGCTGGACACTTAATGCAAGTTTTGTATTGTGGTACTTCCTATATTTAGAACAGTCATTGATTATCAGGGTGTGTTCTCAGCCTTGTATGTTAAGAAACTTGGTTTTGTTATTATAGTGGTGAGATATCTGACTCACACTAACCAAATTCACCAGAAAAGTATATTTAAACCTAAATGTTCATTTGTTATTTTATGATAATAGCTATTCCATTGCTGACATTAGAATATTTGGAACCACTGTTCAGGGCAGCCTTCTCTATGGCAAGCAGAATCAGTAGGCAGGTTTCTTAGTGAGCAAGGAGATAAGTCTTTCTGGGGTGTGGTTTACCTATGCCAGTGTGAATCAGATGGTGATTGCCATGTAACAAAGAAAATACTCCCTTGGATTGAAATTCTCATGTCTTTCTCCTTGGACAGGGCAGGATAAATACTCTTACTTACTTTTGAATATTTAATTTCCTTAACTGATAGTTCTTTGATCCTTGGTAAGGCTAAAGAATTTTTCCTATGTTGACCAGTTACTTGTATTACTGCTTTTGAGAATTATCTGTTCCTATTCTTTGCCTATTTCTTAATAGTATCTTATTGATTTATAGTTCTTTATATGCTAAGACTATTAACCCTATGTCATATAAAATTTTACATATATTGTATTTAATTATATTAATCTTATCAATAAGAAACCATCAGTCAATCTATGTATTCCATTGAGGATGTTTTTAGACATAAAGAGATTCTGATGTATCCAGAAAATTTTATCCTACTGGTTTGACTCTTTTTTTTTTTTTTTTTGAGACAAAGTCTCACTCTGTTGCCCTGGCTAGAGTGAGTGCCGTGGTGTCAGCCTAGCTCACAGCAACCTCAAACTCCTGGGCTCAAGCAGTCCTACTGCTGCAGCCTCCCAAGTAGCTGGGACCACAGGCATGTGCCATCATGTCCGGCTAATTTTTTTCTATATATATTAGTTGGCCAATTAATTTCTTTCTATTTATAGTAGAGACGGGGTCTCGCTCTTGCTCAGGTTGGTTTTGAACTCGTGACCTCAAGCAATCCGCCTGCCTCTGCCTCCCAGAGTGCTAGGATTACAGGCGTGAGCCACCGCACCCGACCTGCTTTGACTCTTAAAATAGGACCTTCACTATCAACACACTGTGATGACTCAAATACTCTCCAGTACTTTGATATATAGCAGACTATATATCAAAGTCTGATTGGTTGGACATGAAAGGTAATGCCCAGGCTGGGCATGGTGGCTCACACCTATAATCCTAGCACTCTGGGAGGCCAAGGCGGGTGGATCGCTCAAGGTCAGGAGTTCAAAACCAGCCTGAGCAAGAGCGAGACCCCCGTCTCTACTATAAATAGAAAGAAATTAATTGGCCAACTAAAAATATATAGAAAAAATTAACCGGGCATGGTGGCACATGCCTGTAGTCCCAGCTGCTCAGGAGGCTGAGGCAGAAGGATCACTTGAGCCCAGGAGTTTGAGGTTGCTGTGAGGTAGGCTGATGCCACGGCACTCACTCTAGTCAGGGCAACAGAGTGAGACTCTGTCTTAAAAAAAAGAAAAAAGAAAGAAAGTTAATGCCCAGATTCAGTAGACTGTCTACAAGTCTTGGCATCTCACTGCCAGTATTTTCAACCTCTTTCCAGTAAGTCTCCTCTCCCACTTTTTACTCTACTACTCTTTGACTTAGAGTGGATTTTTTGCCTTCTTATGATGAAACCAAATTCTGAACAGAATGAAAATTCTTGTGACTGATTTGGTTGGACAAGGGGAAGCATTTCTTGGCGGGATCCAATGTAATGTCATAGACACTATATCTGTAACTTGCTATTCTCTCCATGGCCAATATACCATACTTTTAGAAATATTCAAACTGTATATTTCTAGTGCCTCTCTTATGGAATTATCAATTAATTTGTAGGACCATGATGTAATCCAAAACAGTGTCATCTATGTCACAAAATGTGCCCCCCATGTTTTCATGAGCTTAGGGTTTACTTTCCAATCACTTATTTTGTACCTTCTCTCTAAAGCAGGCATTGGATTATTTGGCTATCGGAATTCAAAGTTCCTGCTTGTCATTGTATTGCTTTTCCTTCTTAATTACATGGTTTCTTGAAATAGTCACAACTTTGGCTTCCACCATGTTTTCATTCTCCTTTGTGTACCCCCCTCTACTCTAAGGAACAGCTCCCTACCGTTTAATGGATAGGCAGTTTTCTTTCCCCTCTAGAACAGCTCAAAGATGTTGCTTATGGCACCCGACAGTTGTCATTATGTCGGGAAACACTGCCAACCCCTGGAGATGAGGATGAAGTGGACATTTCTCTGCTGCATCAGAGCGAGAATCTTTTTGAACTACACATCCACCAGGCCTTCCTGACATCTGCCGCCTTGGCTCAGGCTGGAGATACACAACCTACCACTTTCTGCACCTATTCCTTCTATGATTTTGAAACCCATTGTACCCCACTATCTGTGGGACCACAGCCTCTGTATGACTTCACCTCCCAGTATGTGGTGGAGATAGATTCTCTTTTCTTGCACTACCTTCAAGGGGCTTCAGCCCGGCTTGATCTACACCAGGCTGTGGCCAGTGAGCACATCACCCTTGCAGCTGGATGGATTTGCTTTGACAGGGTGCTAGAGACTGTGGAGAAAGTCCATGGCTCAGCTACACTTACTGGTAAGTTCTGTTGCCTTCCTATAGCTCCTAGGACCAATGCACAACTTCCCAAAGTGTATAGTTGCTCTGCTGGTGATTTCCCATTTTCTTCCTCTGCCTTTATTCTTGATCCTCGCTACAACGTCTGTGTTATCCATGCCTTTCATACTTTCTGCTACCCAGGAGTTGGTGGAGAAGAGTTTGGGATGCTAGAGTACTGGATGAGGCTGCGTTTCCCCATAAGACCCAGCCTACAGGCATGCAATAAACGAAAGAAAGCCCAGGTCTACCTGTCAGCCAAAGTACTTGGAGCCTGGGAGGCCCAGAAGGATGAGGTGAGAAAAAGGATGTGTCCATGCATCTCAAAGGAACCTCAGCCAAACAGCTCAGTCTTTCACTCTCAATAAGTATTTTCTTTTTTAGATACAGGGTCTCACTCTGTCACTCAGGCTGGAGTGCAGTGGCACAATCACAGCTCACTGCAGCCTCTAACTCTGGGGCTCAAGTGATTCTCCCACTTCAGCCTTCCCTGTAGCTGAGACTATGGGTGCATACCTCCATGCCTGGCTAACTTTTAACTTTTTTGTAGAGACAAGGTCTGGCTATGTTGCCGAGGCTGGTCTTGAACTCCTGGGCTCAAGCAATCCTTCTGCTTAGGCCTTCCAACATGCTGGGATTATAGGCATGAGCCACCATGTCTGGCCCCAATAAGTATTTGTTGAATGTGAGTGAAAGAGAAAAACTGTCAAACCACAGATTGTCCAGATTATTCCCTTGGTCAAGCTTGAGTTAGAAATGAAATCATGCTCTTGGAGCTAGCTACTTTTCCTTGCTGTGAACAAAGTAGATTCTTTGTCCCATTCTTTAAAATAAGGCTTGAGTGATAGCATCTCCCTCAAATAACTGCCAGAGCCAGTTTGCAGGTAGGTGAAGGTCATTAGGTTTCTCTGTGACCCAGTCAGGATAGCTTTTCTTTAGATCATAGTTCTTCCTCACCAAGGGTGCTGGGCTTTATCTGCAACACTCTCAGGCTGCTCTTTTCCTCAATCCAAGATCAACATCTTTCCAGTCCAGATCAGAGACTTGGAAACCTCAGAATGAGCTGCGGATTGAAATCACCAGGTGCTGTGGCCTCCAGAGTCGATGGCTGGAAACTCAACCCAGTCCATATGCCATGTACCGCTTCTTCACCTTTTCTGACCATGACACTGCCATCATTCCAGCCAGTAACAATCCATACTTTAGAGACCAGGCTCGATTCCCAGTGCTTGTGACCTCTGACTTGGATCAATATCTGAGACGGGAGGCCCTATCTATATACGTGTTTGATGATGAAGACTCAGCGCCTGGCTCATATCTTGGTCAAGTCCAAGTGCCCTTGCTGTCTCTTGCACAAAACAAATCTATTAAAGGTGGGAGTTCAGGGATATTGCATCTTTGTACTATCTTCCCAGTGTTGTCTCCCTGTCCTGATTCTGCTTTTCTTTGATTACTTGCTTGGAACAATCTCTTGTAAAATCTGATGAAAGGATTTTAGAATATTGTCAAGGGTGATGAAGCAGAAGACTTAGAGCCTCACTCCTCGTATGGAAACATTGACTTTTTCTTTTCAGCAAGAAAAGCAAGATTCCTAAGTGGGTAGGCCCACCAACCTGAATTCCATACCTCTATCTCTGAACAAACTTGTTCAAAGTCAGTAGTGCTATTTGTCTGTACTTAGGGCCTCTAGTTTCTTCGTGAATGGCTAGATAGCTAATTATAAACTGAGATCTTAACAATCCCACACAATTCTCTCACTGCTTTAAAACATTAGATACAATCAGATAGTTAGAGACCACACCAGACCATAACAAAGGCAAATTTCTTGGATTCCACCACACCGCCCCAGTATAGAGCTGAGCTCCATACTAACTTACCTAACTTCATACCCAGGGTTGTGGGGTGCATCTGGGAGGAGTTGACTCTCTGGTTACAGTGCTGGGAGGATGAGGTAGGGATATACATGCTCTGATTAGGAAGTGCGAATAAGTACAGCCGGTACCAACCATACTTAATAAGTTTCTGGATGCTCCAGGAAGTGTGTGGAGCAATACCACAATTGCTTAAGAAAACGCTGATACTTCTCACAACTCCTTTGTCAGACAGGGGAGGCAGTGTGAGCCAACTGTAAATCAGTGTAACAAATGAGAAGTCTGGCATTTGGAAAAAACATTTTGTGTAAGTTTTCTTAGGGCCACTTGATTGTAGATGATGGGTTTTGGGGTATGCCTAAGACATAGTAAACATTTGATAATAGTAATAATAATGCAGTTTTATTTATTGGTTGGATGACTGATGACAAGCAAGCTGTATTTCTCTCCATACATCTTTTGACTGTCTCTTTCTGAAACCCGGAGATTCTGATCTTCCCCTATTAATATTCTGACTATGCTGCTATTTTACATTACTTCTGAGTGTATCATTATCATGATTATTTGATAGATGTTAATTAATTACATTAATTTGGTAGATGTTAATTAATTACATTAACTAAAAAATGGGGGAAATAGATAAGCTGCTGATAAATGCTCACTTGCCTATTTCGAGAGATCAGGTCTTATTAAGGTATGTGTGTCTCTTAGGTGATTTTAACCTCTTTGACCCTGCGGGAAAACCCAATGGATCTATTCAAATACAACTGGATTGGAAATCTCCCTACATACCCCCTGAGAGCATTCTGAAACTAGAGGCTCAGACTACGGAGAATGACACTGAAGACAATTCAGAGATCTCATCTGATGAGGAAAAGTCTTCCTTTCCTCCAGAGGTAACTCTCCAGGACTCCCCAGGCAGCAGATCTTTGCTAATCCTATGGAGCAGATTCGAAGGAGACAGTATTGAAATTGGAGTAAAAGAAATGCCTACTGTGAATGTTATGTGTTCTGCAAGCTTAATCTATATCCCTCATAATGCCATGAGGGTATTGATAGAGAAAAACACTGAGTTTTATTGTAGGAGGGAGAGAGAGATAGCAGCATCTTTCAGCTCTAGAGCAGGAAAAAACTGAAGTCTAATGCTAGTTCATAAGTCTCTTTTATTATCTTTTTTTTGAGACAGACTGTTGCTCTGTTGCCTGGCATCAGCCTAACTCACTGCAGCCTCAAACTCATGGGCTCAAGTGATCCTTCTGCCTCAGCCTCCCAAGTAGCTGGTGTGCATCACCATGCCCAGCTAGTTTTTTCTGTTTTTAGTAGAGACAGTCTTGCTTTTGCTCAGGCTGATCTCGAACTCCTGAGCTCAAGCAATCCTCCTGCCTCGGCCTCCCAGAGTGCTAGAATTACAGGCATGAGCCACTGTGCCCAGCCCATAAGTCCCTTCCTTGAGTATCAAGGCTGTTAAAACATCATCTTGTAAGGCTGTGTCTGATCCTTCCATTCAGGACCAGATGGCACCTGCTGAGATTCCCATTGAAGCTGGCCAGTATAAAACAAAGAGAAAACCTCCTCAGGTGGCAGAAAGAAAGGAAAAGGAACATCAGGTTGAAAGCTACTCAAGAAGAAAACATGGTAAAAGAATAGGTGCTCAAGGAAAGAACAGAATGGAGTATCTTAGCCGTAACATCTTAAATGGAAATACATTACAAGTAAGACCTTAGAAACTTGAAAAGCCAAAATATGGGTTGTAGTGTCCCCAAATGTATTATTCTCAAGGTAGAAGGAGAAGAAGACACACATGATAAACAATAATCATAGCTGTTTGTGGCTGGCATGTGTTTCCACAAACACAAGTAGTTTGATAAACCCCTGGGCTGTTCATTTCAGTGTAATTTAATTCATCATATTATTTACTTTATAAATTTATGCTTAGAACTTTAATACCATATATATTTGTATGTGTATGGTATTTATTTTTAAACAAGTACTAAATTTTAAAAATTAAAAAGAGCTAGTATTAAAAAGGAAAAACAAGCCAGCCGTGACGGCTGACACCGGTAATCCTAGCACTGCGAGAGGCCAAGTCAGGAGAATTGGTTGAGGCCAGGAGTTTGAGAATAGCCTGAGCAAGAGTGAGACCCTCATCTCTACAAAATAAAATAGAAAAATTAGCTGAGTGTAGTGGCACATACCTGTAGTCTGAGCTACTTGAGAGGCTGAGGCAGGAGGATCATTTGAGCCCAGGAGCTTGAGGTTGCAGTGAGCTATGATGATGCCATTGCCCTCTAGCCTGGGCAACAGAGCAAGGCCTTGTCTCAAAAAAAAAAAAAAAAGGGAAAACCAAATGCTACATCTTCTCACTCATAAGTGGGAGCTAAATGATTGCTATATATGCTCATAAAGTGGTGTAATGGACATTGGAAACTAAGACAAGGGTAGAGTCTATTGAGTACAATGTACACTATTCTGGTGACAGGTGCACTAAAAGCCCTGTCTTCAGCATTATACAATTCATCCATGTAACAAAAAAAAAAACCTTGTACCCCCTAAATCTATTGAATTTTTTTTAAAAGGGAAAGAGAGAAAGGGAAGGAAGGAAGGAAGGATGGATGGATGGATGGATGGATGGATGGATGGATGGATGGATGGATGGATGGATTTCCCACTCTCTGGTCTGGGACCCTGAAGGCAGCACCATTTTGAGCTGCTTATGCCCTGAGAGGCAGAACTGTGTTTTGGAGCATTTGCAAATGTTCACCAGATGCCCACGGGGGAGGGGGGGGGAAGGAAGGAAGGAAGGAAGGAAACCAAGATATTACCAGCTATATAATATTGTTATTCTTATTCTGAAGCAGGTGAAGTACACTGAATGGAAGTTCTTGGGGCTTAAAATCTCTACAGATGATGGTTTTGAAAATCAGCACGAGAAAGAAGAAATGACAATATCCCATTCAACACTGAAACAGAAGGAACCTCTACATCCTATAAATGGTATTTTTTAAAATCTAATTTTTCTATTTAATCATTTAATTATTTCATCAATCCAGTTATTTGCTTGCTTTCTTCATCTTAGACTGCTAAACTTTTCTTGGAAAATTAGTACATAAGACCCTAGGCTGGGTTTTCTTTTACAAGTGTGATGGTTGAGCCAACAAAGGCTGTTATTCACAAAGAAAGTAACTTTCCATGTATTTATAGCTAGCTAGCTTAGTACCTAGTATTTATGAAATGTTAATTCACCTCAGGATTTTATGAATTATAGTTACAAAGAAATAGAAGGAGGAGTGTGATTAGCTCATTTGTGAGGTTAATGTAAATTTTTAAAAATTAAGGCAAGGCTTTCATGTTATAATGAAAAATGGATGTAATTTCAGATTATAGTTATGGCAACTAGGTAATTCGGATCAACTCTCCCATTGATGACAACTAAAAAACTAAAGTTTATTTACATGTGTATGCATATATTTTTTTCATTTTCATTTCCATTTTCTTTTTCTTTGGAGACAGGGTCTTGCTCTGTTGCCCAGGCTAGAATGTAGATGACATCATAGCTCATTGCAGCCTTGAACTCCTGGGCTCAAGGGATCCTCCTGCCTCAGCCTCCTAAGTAGCTGGGACAACAGGCACGCACCACCATACCCAGCTAATTTTTTTATTATTATTTTTTTTTTTTGTAGAGATAGGGGTCTCACTATATTGCTTAGGTTGGTCTCAAACTACTAGCCTCAAGTGATCCGGCAGCCTTGCTCTCCCAAAGTGCTAGGATTACAGGTGTGAGCCACTGCGCCAGGCACTGAAAGTTAATATGTTTTTTAAAATCTTCTTAATGTATTTAAGAAGTATTCAAGAGCCAACAAAAGAGGGAAAAATTACCTAGCCTAGATCAGGGAGAGGATTCGATCTCAGAGAGATGAGTTGCAGCTGCTTCTGCCCTGGCACATTGCTAGTCTGGAGGAGGCGGAGCAGAGGTAGAAGGATGCTTTTGGTGGACTTTTAGGGTGGGTAAATGGGGGTGCAGTCTGAACCTGGTGTCTGCCCAGGATAGAATTTCCCACTCTCTGGTCTGGGACCCTGAAGGCAGCACCATTTTGAGCTGCTTATGCCTTGAGAGGCAGAACTGTGTTTTGGAGCATTTGCAAGTGTTCACCAGATGCCCACCGGGACTCCAGATACTGGCATTGTCAGACACAAGCTATACAATAACTGTGTTTACTGGTTTCATGAAGATAAAAGCTGTGTTTTAAAATTTCAGGAAGGAACTGGAACTGTGAAAATAGATTAAGTTCAAAAATTTTTGTTTTAAAATAATTTCCAATTTAGATAAGAGCTACGTGAATAATACAAAAAGCCACATATACCCTTCACCCAAGTTCATCAACTTTTAATATTTTGCCACTATTTATCATTTTTTTCTGAAGCATTTGAATAAGTTGTAAACATTATGCCCTCTTACTGCTATGTATTTGTTTTCCTAAGAAAAAGAAAATTATATTCTATAACCACAGTACTGTGGTCACATTTGAAAAAGTTAACATGGATATATTATTACTAATATCTAGGCCATTTTCATAATTTGACAGTTGTCCCAATAATGTTCATTACAGCAAGCTTTTTTTCCTCTTATTCAATCCAGGATCATGCATTAGTCATCTCTCTTTGCTCTCCTTTGGTTTTTTTTTTTTTTTTTTTTTTTTTTGAGACAGAGTCTCGCTTGTTGCCCAGGCTAGAGTGAGTGCCGTGGCCTCAGCCTAGCTCACAGCAACCTCAAACTCCTGGGCTCAAGCAATCCTACTGCCTCAGCCTCCCGAGTAGCTGGGACTACAGGCATGCGCCACCATGCCCGGCTAATTTTATATATATATATTAGTTGGCCAATTGATTTCTTTCTATTTTTATAGTAGAGACAGGGTCTCGCTCAGGCTGGTTTTGAACTCCTGACCTTGAGCAATCCGCCTGCCTCGGCCTCCCAGAGTGCTAGGATTACAAGCGTGAGCCACCACGCCCGGCCTTTGCTCTCCTTTAATCTGGGACATTTCTTCTTCTTTTCTTTGTCTTTTATGATATTGACATTTTTTTTTTTTTTGAGACAGAGTCTCACTCTGTTGCCCTGGCTAGAGTGAGTGCTGTGGCATCAGCCTAACTCACAGCAACCTCAAACTCCTGGGCTCAAGCGATCCTCCTGCCTCAGGCTCCCGAGTAGCTGGGAGTACAGGCATGCGCCACCATGCTCGGCTAATTTTTTCTATATGTATTACTTGGCCAATTAATTTCTTTCTATTTATAATAGAGACGGGGTCTCGCTCTTGTTCAGGCTGGTTTCGAAATCCTGACCTTGAGCAATCCCCCCCACCCCGTGCCTCGGCCTTCCAGAGAGCTAGGATTACAGGCATGAATCACTGCACCTGGCCATGATATTGACATTTTTGAAGAGTATAAGTGAGTTGTTCTGTAGAATGTTTCTTAATTTGGGTTTGTTTGTTGTAATTAGATTCAGGTTATGAATTTTTTATAGGAAACTCACAGAAGTGATGCTGTGTCCTTTTCACTGCATCACAATTAGGAGGTACATGGTGTCAACTTGTCCCTTATTAGTGATAATAACTTTGATCAGCTGGTTAAGAAGGCATCTGCCAAGTTGTTCCACCATAAAGTTATCGTTTCCCCCTTTGCAATTATTACATAATCTACGTGAAGATATTTCAAGACTATATAAATATTTTGTTCTTCATCAAATTTCACTTAATAATTTTTGCTCCCATTTATGAGATTTTTTTTTACCTGGATCAGTTACAAAGTGTTTTCAAAATACATTGAAAATTTGGAAATGACTAATAAAGATTTTAGAACTACTAAAAACAGAAATTATAACAGAGAGGCCAGGTGCGGTGGCTCACGCCTATAATCCTAGCACTCTGGGAGGCCGAGGTGAGCGGATCGTTTGAGCTCAGAAGTTCAAAACCAGCCTGAGCAAGAGTGAGACCCTGTCTCTACTATAAATAGAAAGAAGTTAATTGGCCAACTAATATATATACAAAAAATTAGCCGGGCATGGTGATGCATGCCTGTAGTCCCAGCTACTCGGGAGGCTGAGGCAGTAGGATCACTTGAGCCCAGGAGTTTGAGGTTGCTGTGTGCTAGGCTGACGCCACGGCACTCACTCTAGCCTGGGTAACAAAGTGAAACCCTGTCTCAAAAAAAAAAAAAAATTATAACAGAGAAAGAGATAGGTTGAAAGCAGATTAGACACAACTAATATGAGAATTGATGAAAATATCCAGAATAAAGCTAGGAGAGACGACAAGATAGAAAATACAAAAAAGGAAAAAAAAGACATAAAGAATACAATGAGGAGGTCTGGGCTACATTTAATTAAATGAAGGAGAGGAGAAAGGTGGACAGAGGCAATATTTGAAATGATAATGACTTAGAGTTTCCTAGAAATAATAAAGGATACTAAGATTCAATAAATTGATATTTAAGCAGGATAAGTAAAAATAAATTCAAATCTAGACATATTTGAGTAAAAATGCAGGAAATAAAATCAAAGAGAAAATATTAAAAGCAGCGATTTAATTTAAAAAAAAACAGCCATTGGTACATCATTAAGATAGATAACTGACTTATCGAGCACTACCAATATAGTCAGAAGCCAGTGGCAAGATACTTTCAATATGCTGAAAAGAAAGAACTGTCAATCAAGAATTCTCTGCACAAAAATATCTTTCCAGAATGAAAGTAGAATAGACCTTTTTTTTTTTTTTCTTTTTTTTTTGACACAGAGTCTTGCTTTTTTTTTTTTTTACCTGGACTAGAGTGCCATGGCATCAGCCTAGCTCAAAGCAACCTTAAAATCCTGGGCTTAATGACCAGAGGAGGTCCACAGATCCCTTTTATAAATATAATATTAAAAAAAAAAAAAAAAAAAACTCCCGGGCTCAAGTGATCCTTCTGCCTCAGCCTCCCAAGTTGTTGGGAGTAAAGGTGTGTACCATGATGCCTGGCTAATTTTTCTATTTTTAGTAGAAACGGGGTCTTGCTTTTTCTCAGACTGGTCTCAAACCGCTGACTTCAAGCGATCCTCCTGCCTTGGCCTCCCAGAGTGCTAGGATTACAGGTGTGAGCCACTGCCCCTGACCCACAATAGACATTTTTAGACAAACCAAAATGGAGAGTTTGCCTCCAAGCCATATATTAAAAGGAAACTTAAAGATTGTTCTTTACGCTGAAGGAAATTTATTCCCAAAGGAAACACAAAGATACAACAAGGAATGAAAAACAAAGAATATGGGTTAATGTAAATGACTGTATAAAGCAAAAATACTAGTTTGTGGGCTTTTAAATATATGAAGAATTTAAATCAATAATGTAGTGGGTTTAATAGTGGCCCCAAAAAAGTTATTTCCATTTTCTAAAACCTAGAACCTGTAAATGTTATATTATTTGGAAAAAAGGTCTTTGCAGGTGTAATTAAGTTAAAGATCTCGGCCAGGCGTGGTGGCTCACGCCTGTAATCCTAGCACTCTGGGAGGCTGAGGCGAGCAGATCATTTGAGCGAGATCTCAGGAGTTCAAGACCAGACTGAGCGAGAGCAAGACCCTGTCTCTACTAAAAAAAGAAAAAAAAAAAGAAAGAAATTAGCTGGACAACTAAAAATATATAGAGAAAAAAATTAGCGGGGCCTGGTGGCGCATGCCTTTAGTCCCAGCTACTCTGGAGGCTGAGGCAGAAGCATCACTTGAGGCCAGGAGTTTGAGGTTGCTGTGAACTAGGCTGATGCCATGGGACTCTAGCCCAGGCAACAGAGTGAGCCTCTGTCTCAAAAAAAAAAAGTTAAAGATCTTGAAATGAGGAGATCATTCTAGATTATCCAGGTGAATCCTAAATCCAATGACAAGTATCCTTGTAAGAGACACACACAGAAGAGAAGGAGGCACTGTGACCATGGAGGCACAGACAGATGTAGCCACAAGCCGAGCAATGCCTGGAGCCAC